GACCTGACCTAGGGAGGATTTTATTTGGGGTTTATCTTTTAACAATTCGACAGAGACACAACTTTAAAATTTGATTTAATTCGGTTTTATCGGGGGGGAATGTATTTATGTTTTGTTTTAAATATGTTGTGCGCCGCCCTGAGTCCCGTTGGGAGAAGGGCGGCATATAAATTAAATTTATTATTATTATTATTATTAAGAGGTAAAAGAAAAAAGAGCATGGCATAATGAATGAAATGAAATATGCTCTGTCTATAAAATTAAGAGAAAGAGAAAGGATGCAAAACATTAGAATGCAAATGATATAATCTTGTGGAGTGGAATATTAATGTATGCAGAGAAGTGCAGTCATACTGTAGGTTCATTGGTATAGTATACGTCAATAAGTACAGACTGGTGGCATTAAAGTTGTTGCAGATGTATATAAAAGTAGGAATCTCTACATTGGTGAATGTTACACATTAATACTCAAATGAATAGTGAGAATAGGAAGAACTAAGTGGTTTTAGATTAGTGAGTAACATTCTGCATTAATTTGATCCAGGAGGTAAAATTATTGTATTAGATGACATGAATAGATGAATGGGAGCAAGACAAGAAAGTATTTTTAAAAAAGTGATTAGGCCATTCAGAGACCCAAGGATGAATGAGTATTATGACTGGTGAGCATCTGTTTAGAAAAAGGTTTGTTTTGAGCATATAGTTTAAGCATTACTGTTCATATATGCATCCAGAAAAGGAATCAATATAAATATAAAAATATGTTAATTCCTAACAAAATAAATAGAGGAGGATGTAAGAATGTAGAAGCAGAGGAACAGAAGAGATACTCAGAGTTGATAGAAGAAAAAAGTGTGTGAAATTATGACAATGATAAATATTAAAAAGGACACTTGGTGGAAAAAATAATGAAAAGCAGTCATAAATGGTGTGAAAAATAATATGGCTGAGGTGCAGAGATTATTAGTGGAAAGATATTAAAATATGGATGTGGTGTGTTTATGAAATAACTATGCAAGTTTTTTAATGTGTGTGTGAAGACTATATCATGTTTGATCATTGGAAGAAGCCACAGTCATTCTCTTAGAGAATGAAAAAATAGGAAGAATGATTGGAAAAACTACAGGGGAACTACTTTGATAAGTGTTTGGGGGATGGTCTGGCAGAATACTGATCAAAAGGGGGCAAGGATGACAAGTAAAATTTGTGAAGTACAATGCAGCTTTATGCCAGGCAGGGAACAAGAAGATCAGATTTTTGATTTTTTTTAGCATATCATTGAAAAATGTATAAATGCAAGGAAGAATTATTGTACATTTACTGATTACAGGAAGCACATGACAGGCATGAAATAAGGAATAAATGTGTAAGTAAAGCTTGTGGTGAAGCTAGAGATAGGTTAGTTGGGACATGAATATATAAGCATTTTTGTATGCAGATAATGCTCTGCTGTTGGTTGAGAACCTGATTGATTTGCAGTGAATAATTGATTGCATGATGCAATGAAGAGCATTTGAAAATTAATGTGTCAAAGTCCAAAATACTTGTGTTTGACAGACAAGATGGAGTGAATGATTGCAAGTTATACATAAATGATGAAAAATTAGAACACACAGATTGATTTGTGTATCTTGGTAGAATTTTCATGAAAGATGAGAAAAGGATGGAGGAATTTTAAGACGGGCAAATGTTGGTGGAAAGATAGTGAGTAATATGAAGTCCACTGAGAGGAATGAATGTTTGCTAAAGAAGCAAAATAGTTGTGTTGTGGCTTTTCTCCACTTTATTATAAGGAAGTGAGTTTAGGGGTACATAAACAAAAGCATCTTGAATGCAATGGGAATGGAGTACTTAAGAAATAAAACAAGAAGTGACAGGTTAAGAATAAATGAGTACTGAAATAATGTGGCTGAAGTACAGAAGTGAACAATCAATTCCAAACAAGCACACTGAAATAATCTTCTATATAAATAAAAATGTAAATGTTCATTTGTTCAAAATCTTAAATCTCCGAAAGTTCTTCACCGATTGCTTTGAAATTTTGACACAACGTTGCATTCGAATACGAGCGTGTTTTTATATACCTACTATTATATAGATGTCACACCTGTGACAGGTAAAAACATGCACCATCTGTTGGCCGTAAAAGCAATTTTACGTAAACAAAAACATATTACAAACGTGCGCTTTCTCTTTTCTTCCTTTTCCATTTAACCAGACTGAGCCACAAAAACGTGTGGCCGGGTACAGCTAGTAAAGAATAAAAAGTTATGAATGAAGCAATGTACAGATGTGGTAGAAACTATGGATGGTTTGCTAGGATAGAAAACTGAGGAAATGCTTAATGAATGGAGTTGGTATAAACTACTTAAACTGGTTTTAGCTATATTTTGTTTTCTTTTTCTAAACTCATATGATTAATTCCTTAAAATTTCTTGCTCCTTTTCTACACTCTGTTTACTCCTTAAGCGTACAGCCTCATGGCTATGTATGCATGCTCATTTGGTGTCCCTAGCAGCTAATTTGGCCTTTTTTATTAAAAATAATTTCAATTATTTTTTTAATGTTAACATTTATAAAATAAATGAAATCTTGGATACTATTCACCTCTCCTCTTTAGTTCTATGTGAATAAATCTTACCTTCTTATTGTCCTCAATAATGTAGACCGAGCTTCATTATGGAAGGTGATAATGATGCTGGTTGGTGGCAGATCTGTACGATAGTGTAAAGAAGTACACCTGAATGAAAAAAATAAAAAAAAGTATTTCTTAATCTATGGAAAACTTAAGAAAGTGTTATTCAGTAAGTTGCTTTCTTAACAGAAAATGTTAGGCATCATGAAATAATGTAGTTGAACACACAACTGACAATAATCTTGCTATATTATATTTTGAAAAAAAACTGAGGTGATAATACAATTATTTTGAGACTTCAGATCTGGGAAGGTAGGGTTGGGGGGTTTTTTTGGTGAGAAAAGAATAAAAAAATCATTAAGACAGACCTGAATCAGATCTAATTTGATAAAAATGTTAACATTAGTGTAGCAATGGATCCAAAAACAGATTCAAACTGGCAACCTGAACATAAAACCCTCCTGACCAAATTAAACACCATAAAGCCAGACAAAAACTTTCATCACATCTAGATTTAGATTTGTTTTATTGACCCACAATCTATTATAGTGGCTGAGCATTAGGCAGAATACAGAGTGACTCATATAGATTAGATAAAAGGCACAGAGAGGTCATAGGAACATCATCCTCTTCAATTTATGTCTGTGGATGATGTCCCAGCAATTTCATGTGGAACAGAGATAGACAAACTGCAAGTCCTAAATCCCCTTCTTTGTACCCCTTGAAGTACCCTCTGATGCATGTTTGCTGAAACTAATAATAAAATCCTCTGCCTGTTTAAAGTAAGGAGCAGATCAAAATGGCAAGGCAGGCCAGCACAATTCATAGAGAGAAAAGGACCACATTACTACATTAAAAATAATTGCAGGCCACAGAGGAATAACTGGCACATCAATCAGCTCTACAATGGCTAGTAGTATAGTGGTAGCAATGGGGCTGGCACTGACAGTGAGGCCTGGGGATGTTTCATATAGGAGATAATGGTGAAAACTTAGACTGCAGAGGTTTTCCTTGGCAGCAGTGGATTTGTTCAAGTTTTCAAAAGATATCAATGGGCCACACAAGGCTGCCTGGTGGGCAGTTTGTGGTCCATATCTTCTATAGCCCTGCTATAAGGTAAACTGGAAAATAGTTCCATCACTATTTTTAAAAAAGAAAATCCCGTAACTCTCTACAACAAAACCCCAAAATGAACATGCACAATATCACTGCATTCAGACTGTGGCACTCAGCAGCCTCCAAATTTTTAAGTGCAGCCCTTG